ATGCAGAAGGGTGCCAAAGTCATTAATCCAAGGAGAACAAACTGGGAGAAATTCACGGAGCTTACGAACTCCCAGCTGACTCTTAATACAAACTTAGGAACAGCTGTCGAACTTAATGGGGCTGTGGACGCTGGGAAAAAATCTCACCTAGTGTGATGGAACAGGGAACGACCAGACAACTGTACAACAGGGCGCATAAATCAAAACTCGATATTGTTTGGAACTCCTACAGAGCTAGTTTCAGCAAATACAAGAGTGAGATCAAACGCGCAAAGAAAAAGTCTTGAATAAATTTCTGTGAGTAGATAGAAAGAGTCAACGACGCTGATAGATTTCGAAGACTACTATCCAAGGATCCGAAGTCCATCGGAAGCATCAAGAGGCAGGATAGAGCGAGGACGGACTCTGGTTCTGAGACTCTTAATCTCCTAGCTGAGACTCATTTCCCAGGTAGCAAAGATATGGGTACCATCGACGGTGAACGTGCTGACACTCAGCCTCTTTTGAATCTAGATTTGGATCTCATTGGCAAGGTGGTTAACAGAAATAAGATACGATGGGCAGTCAATACATTCAAACCGTATAAATCGCCAGGATCAGATGGAATCATACCGGCGATGCTTCAATTTGCCTCGCCAAGTATATATCTGATCCTTGAGAGAATCTATACGGCGTGTTTGACTCTCTCGTATGTCCAGGATCTATGTAACGAGGTAAAGGTTACATACATTGTCAAAGCGGGGAAACCAAGCCACTCTGCACCAAACGACTATAGACCCATTAGCTTATCATCCTTTCTCCTCAAGACTCTCGAAAGACTGAGCAACCTGGAGATTAGGAGTCGTATAGAGACCACCTCTCCTAGCAACTCACAACACGCATACATAAAGGTCAAGTCTTTAGAATCTCTGTACTGCACGAGGTGGTAGGTTGCATTGAGAGGAATATGGAAAATTCAAATTTTACGCAGGCCGCCTTCCTAGATGTAGAGGGAGCCTTTAACAACGTTAAACCTGAATCGACCAAACCATTCACTTAAAGAAGTTGGCATTCCTGATACCCTTACGTATTGGATAGATAAAATGCTAAACAGCAGAATTATAAATTCAAGTGTGGGGGATACAAAAATCAGGAAAACGAAAACTAGAGGCACACCTCAGGGAGGGGTGCTCTCGCCGTTGCTATGACTATTGGTAATTAATAATATACTGATGGAACTGGACGGGAAAAGTATCCGGAAAATTTCCGTCAACAATCTCAGAGCTTATGCAAAGAGCCTTAATGACGATGTCGCGTTGGGCCAGGGCGAACGGCCTTGGTGTAAATCCAACAAAGACGGAACTGGGCGTTTTTGCTCCACCAACACTGGATGGAGAGCAACTTCATATATCTCCCGAAGCAAAGTAGCCCGGCACAGTTGTGGACTATCAACTACGATAGAATAGGAACGGGCGAAGAGAGGGCTGATTGCACTCTATGCATGCAACAACTCCATTGTGAAATGCTGGGGGCTAAAACCATCGACTATACACTGGTTGTATAACACCGTGGTGAGGCCCATCCTATCCTATGGTTCTCTTGTGTGGTGGAACTGTCTGCCCCACAAGTCGATATCCAGTAAATTAGATAAGGTACCAAGAGCCGCCTCGATTTTAGTTACAGGAGCCAGGAGGAGTACGCAACAAGCAGCTCTGAACGCATTGTTGAATTTTAAGCCTCTGGGCCTCAGCATTAAGTGTCAGGCCGTGCGTAGCGCCCTAAGGCTGGATGAACAAAACCTCTGGCGATGTTGTACCTTTGGGCATGGTCGTATCTTGAACGAGCCAGGTATGACATTGAACCAATGCCTAAAACTAAGCGACGATATATCACCAGTCCTGATATTTGACCATGTAGATGTCGTTATTCCTAGTAGAGACGACTGGAACCGATGTAACCCTCCTCTGGACGGTCTGGCCTTCTATACAGACGGATCTAAGATGGAACAATGTACAGGGGCAGGCGTCTACTGTGAAAGGCTAGGCCTTGAGTTAACCCACAAGCTGGATTGCAACTGTAGTGTTTTCAAATCTTAAATCTTCACGATTTGGAAGGCAGCGGAATTGATAAAAAGTCTGGATGCGAAGGTCGTTGAACCGGTGACTATTTTCGTGGTGACTATCAAACGGCTCTTAAAGCCATCAAATCTTGTTATATCAAATCTGAGGCCGTCCTCAAGTGTAGAACAGCTTGGAAGAACTTACTTACACTACCTTAGGTTTATTTAAAAAAAATATATATTTTTATAAAAATTCCACACATTAGGTTTAAAAAAAATATTCATTTAAAAAAATATTATTTTAAAAAATCCAAATCTTTAGTTCTTTGCCAAAAATATTCTTTTAAAAAATCTAGACCTTGATTTGTTTGGAAACAATTTTATTTTAAAAAATCCTTGCCATCCCCTGGACAATTAAAAACCCATTAATTTTTTTTTTTTTTGTATTTTTTGATTTTTTTTATTATTTTATTTATTAATTTATTAAACATAAAATTAATTGTATGCATTTGTTGTTGTTTGTTTTTTACTCAGTTGTTTATTATTATTAATTATTATTACTTTATATTTACTTTAAAGTATATTTAAATATACTTCTAAATATTTGTTTGTTTGTTTTGTTGGGGGATTTTTTTAATTTATTTCTTTTTTTTTGTTTTTGTCTTATACAAAAAATGTAATTATATATGCAATATATAGTATTTTTTGTTTAGTTTTTTACTTGGGATTTTTTTATTTTATTTTACTTAATTGATGGATGAGTTTGGGGGTTTTTTGACAAAAATTTATTTACTGAAGGATTTTTTTATATTTTTTTATTTTATTTTTTAATTTGAGGTTATGTGAAAGGGAAACAAAATTTAATTTTTTTCTTGTCTGCATAAACAAAATTACAAAAGTGTATATGTATTTTAAAATAAAAAAAATATATATATATTTAATATAAACAAAAAAAAAATGTTAAAAATTAAAAAATAAAGTAAAGCGTTTTTATATAACAAAAGTTATAACAAAAAGTATGTGTTTTAAAAAAAATTTACTTTTATTTTCAGAAAAAAATGTTTTATTTTTAAATGTTTGTTAGGATGCGAATTCTTTTGTTTTTTTTTTCTTTTTTAAGACTTCTTAGAAAAACAATTTGTTAGTTTTAAAAAATAATAATTATTAATTAAAAAAAAATAATTATAAGAAACGAGGTTGTAGTTTAAAATATATATATATATATATTCTTAGTTTGCTTAAAACAAAAATTTAAAAAAAAGAAAAACGTTATTTTTCAAATGGAAGATTTTTCAAAAGAAAAAAAATAATAAAAATACGAGAATTTTTTTAAGAAAACAATTTTTTTTAAGAAAAAAATTAAACGCAAGCCTTTGGCAGAGAGAAAAACAAAACGAGAATTTTTTTATTTTTTGGAGTTTTAGGTGTTGAAAATTCAGCTAAGAATTGGATTTTTATTTTTTAAAAATTAAAATTTTTTTCAAAATTTTTTGGGGGGTTAATTTTTTTTTTTTTTTTTTTTGAAAGGAAAAGCTTTAAATATTTTTTTGTTTGCTATGCTCTTTTTGTGGAAATGAGGGGGTGTTGTTGTTATAAATATGAAAGGATTGTTGGGGTTTGTTTTTTTTATTTTTCCGTTTTCTTTATTAATTTTAATTACAATATTTACCTTTTTATGTTGTTGTTATATATTTAAATTAGTTTTTTTTTGTTTATATAGTAATGTATATAATGCAAAGTATATAAGTATATGGTATTAAAGTTATATTTAATATATATTTTATTTTTTTTATTTAAAAAGTAGGTTTTTTTGTTACGATTTCTGCTGGGTGAAAATTGTTGTTGTTGTTGTGTTGTTTTTTTTATAATAGGAGAAGAAGGAGGAGCAGAGGCTTATATTAGTTGTTGTTGTATATTGCTTTCCAAAAGAAAAATGTTATTAAAAAAACACGAGAATGCCAACAACGTTTTCTTTGCTATTGTTTTTAGTGGGGGGCGTTGTAAAAGAATTTTTGTTTTGTTTTGTTTTTTTTTCAATATTTATATATTTGTATATAATATATAAATATTATTTTTTTGTGTATATATATATTTTTTATACTTAATATATATTTTTTATTTATTTTTATTTTCAAAAAAAAATTAAAGAAATATTTTTTATAAATTAAAATAAAAAATAGGAAAATCTTTTATAAAATTAAAAAATTGTATTGAAATATAAAAATTGTTTTGATCTCTGTCCAATTAAAAAATTTTATTTAATTTTTTTATTTTAGAGATGGTTACACTTTTTTTAGCAAATTCGGAAACAAAATATAAAGACAAAGTTAATTATTTTTTATATAAAAAAATCAAATAAAATTAAATTTCACGTTATTGCTTGCTTGCTCTCTCTTTTTTGCTGGCCGGGGCTTGGCTTAATTCTTCTTCAAAAAAGTTATAAACAAAAAGTTAATATTGTTAAGAATATTGAATTCTGTTCTCTTTGCTTTTGTAGATTGTGGATTATGTTGTTGTTTTTGGTATTACGCATAAAATTGTAGTTGTTGTTGGCTTTTGAATTTTTTTGTTGTATATTATCCTTTTGTTAATCTTTTCCGGGTTTTTGTTATTTTTAAGTTATTAAATATTCTCTTCAGTAAATTGTTTTCCTTTAAACATATATACCAATATATATGTAGTTATAGTTATTAAGATCTCTCGCTTTGTTTTCTTATGTTTTTGCATATAATTCTCTCTCTCGTTTTTTTGCTTTAGATTGTTTGTTTGTTGGTTGTATTTTGTTTTCATTTATTTTCTCATCGAAAAATAGTTAAAATTGTGTATTTTTTTACTTTGTTTATGTATATTTTTATTTTAGTTAATTCTTGTTGTTCAGCTTCTTCTGCGCTCTGCTTTTATTTGTTAATTTTTATTCTTTCTTAGTTTTGTTGGTTTGCTTTGTTTTTTCTTCTCAGCAGCATTTAATTGTCTTCATTCTGCTCTCTGGCTTCTTCTTGGAGTTTTTCTTCGCGTGGTTTGGCATTACCAAATATAGCAGCTGACTGCTTTGTCTCCGCAAGCCCATTGATGGGTGCATTTACGGTACGGGGTTTCAATTGAAGTCGGGGTCTCTCACTGTCATCTGTAAAAAATGAATAAAAAAACAAAATTAAAATAAAAAAAAAAAAATAATTGGAAAATGGATTTTTAAAAAAATATATTTTTAATCACCCCGAAATTCAAATATATTTTTTAACATAGGGGATGATAGATAACAAGCAACGGCTCTGATTAGCTTTTACATGGCGAAGCCCAGGCTTATCTTGGTCCCCCTTTCATCTTAATTTTGGACACTGACCTCCCCGCGGTGTCACCTGGGGTAGCTATTTTCATCACCCTTTGAAATAGTGAGTTGATATGTACCGCGAGTTCACCCATAAGAACTATAAAAAATGGGTTGAGACGTCGGGTTAGTTGCCCACTCTCGGAAAACCCAACTTACTATGAAAAAGCAAAGAACAAGAAAACCAAACCCCCCTAATGTTGACGACACACGCAAACGTATAAAGGACCACGATTTGCAAATCTGCACTTGGAATGTGCGCACGTTGTACAGAACACGAGCAGTTTCCGCTTTAGCGGATGTATTCAAGAAGTAGAAAGCCGATATTATATCCTTACAGGAAATGCGATGGAAAGGGACTGGCGTAAGTAAATCAGATGATTACGCCCTGTATTATAGCTGCCATGAAACGAGACATGAATTTGGCTGCGGATTTATGGTTAACAGGAGAATAAAAGACTTCGTCTCCAGATACACTAAAGTAGATGAGCGAATTGCTGTAATCCGCATAAAAGCGAAGTTCTTCTACATCAGTCTCATTTGCGCCCATGCTCCGATCGAAGATAAAGATGAACAGACCAAAGACATATTTTACGAGCGCCTAGAAACATCATATGACCGCCGCCCTGGCCATGACATTAAAATTCTGTTAGGAGATTTTAATGCAAAAATCGGAAGGGAAAATATCTTTGGCCCCACCGTCGGAAAATTCAGCCTCCATGAAAAAACATCAGACAACGGCATGAGGTTGATTGACTTCGCGACAGCAAAAAACACCAAATTCAATCATCTCGATATACACAAGGTCACTTGGATTTCTCCAGATCGTACAACGAGAAATCAAATCGATTATGTTGTAATAGACGGAAGGCTCGATCCTTGGAGCGAATATCGATTCGGACCATTACCTTATGGCAGTCAAGGTACCCACCCGTCTTAATGTAGCAGTAAAGGTACGATCTAATGTAACACGGAAATTTGCCGTCGAAAAGCTAAAAACACAACAGATAGCAGAAGCCTACTCCGCTCAACTTACCCAACTGCTTGACGAAAGTACCCCTTGTCCCGATAATAATATAAAAACACAATGACAAAGAATTGCCCACTCCCTACAAACTGCAGCATAAGCAAGACTTGGGTACCAAAGACCACCATCAAGAAATCCGTGGTACGATCGGTAATGCTACCGATGGTAAAAACGCAGCGTTTAGGGCAACCCTGCAGACAGTAGCAACACGTAATGTGATGGAGAATTATTGGAAGAAAAGGAGAGAGGAGAAACGTGTTTTCAGAAAAAAGAAGAAAGAACAAGAAAAACGTGAATGTGAGCAAATCGATGTAAACGATTCAGAATGAAGTCCGGAAATTTTACCAACGAGTAAAACGCCAAACCGAAGGTTTTGGTGCAGGCACATCCTTCTGTAGAGATGACGAAGAAAACCTGGTAACAGATACAGACAGGGTGTTGAGGATCTGGAAGGAGCATTTTGAAAAGCTTCTGGCGGTGAAGAACATACCCCAGAACTAATAAGAGATGATGGTGTATACCACCTAGCCAAGACGAGGTCAAAAAAACAATCAATCGGCTCAAGAACAATAAAGCAGCTCGTGCTGATGTGTTACCAGCCGAACTATTTAAGACTGGTGGTCAGGAGCATGCACCAGCTGTTTGGTACAATTTGGCTAGAGGAATGCATGCCCAATGATTGGAACCTCAGCATCCTGTGTCACAAAAAAGGAGACAAGACGATATGTGCCAACTATAGAGGAATTAGCCTTCTACCACACCACTCCGAAAGATCTACGGGCCGATCTGCGTGGTGGTTGTGTGAATGAATGAGAATGCCCCAGCTCAAAAGGCATATAAAAGCGAGCCTACTGATGGTTCTCGTAGAAGGGGGAGGCCACGAATTAGATAGAAAGACCAAGTAGAAAACAACATCTTGGAACGTGGTCTTCAGATCTTTCTAGAAATTCCTTAACAAATGCATTAGCAGGCAAAAATTCTCTCGAAATTAGTCGATGAAACATACTTTCTTGTACTACGATTTTAAAAGATGATCTACCTTATATCTTATAACAACGTAGAAAGAAATTTCCATCGCTTTTTGATTTTATGTAATAATTTATATCCTCAGCCGAGGTATCTGGTGCAAGCCTAGAAACAAATATCATTTTCATGGTGGGAGCCATAGGTAATGGTCTTTGACCATGTTGGAGGGAACTGCTAGTGACAGCTACGGAAGACGCATTAGATGTTTGAACTGATGATTCCCGATTTTCCTTGAGTAGGTTTTGAAATCTTTTCCAGACTAGCACTACTAATACTCACAGATTTTGGATTAATCACTTCATTTACATCCTTAACGATTTCCGAGGCTGAATGTGACACAACACTAGTATAAGTCTGGACACAATCAGTCTCCGTTGTATCTGTTATATTGACGGATGGTGATTGTGTCACTGTATTCCCAACAAAAACTGTGGGTTTGCGACTTTTTTTGTTTTGTACTCACCTATACTACCAAGGGGTGCAACAGCAGATGGTGGGCGATCATTTTGATTGAAATGACCACCACGTTGTTCCCGATCGCCGCCACGATTCCTACTGAAATTATTATAACGATCGTTGCCGCCATCTCGACTCTGGCCACCAAAACTGCCCTCACGATGATTACGATCCTGATTGCGATCATTGTAGCGATCGTCGTTATTGAAATTACCATAACGGCCACGGGCTGCAGGACGGTCTATATAATGCGATATTTTTTTTAAGTACAAAAATATATAAAAATATTATTTTGAATTCAATGAAAATAAAGATTTAGAAACTAAGCTGCACTATAAATTAAATTTTGAGCATTTTGTATAAAGATCCGAAAGAGATTTTCTTCGAATTTAAAAATTCAATTTAAAATTTCATTAAAAATTATTCATTCGTATTTAAATAGTTTGTGATTTGAATTGTTTTTAATTTATGAAATTTTCTAGTGCAGCTTAATTTTTAATTTTGTTTTTATATCGATTGTTTTGAAAATAGAGAGTTTTGTTACAAAGACAATTTTGTGTGGGGGAAATACATAGATGGAGGATTACTACAGGCGGGTGTAATTTTGATTTGATTTCAAGTTGATTTTTTTTGCTGGTCATGCATTCCAAAAATGTTTGTAGGCAAAACGATAGTTAAGGCAATTAAATGATGTGTGTATGTATGTGTGTTGTGTATCCAAAAAACGGTTTCGAAATTAAAAGTTGAGCAATAACAAACAGAGTAAGGAGGGATTTTTAAATAAACTACTGGAAGAATTAAAAATTTTAAGTAAAACAAAAAGTAAATAAAAAAGTTAAATTAAAGTGCAAATTTGAGTTCGTTTTTTTTTCTGAGTACTGAAATTATTGCATGGCATATAGATTTACCGGAATATCCTCTATTCATACCACCGCCGCCTCCACGATTTCTATCATTGTGACCACCGTGATTATCATTGTACGAACCTCTATTGTCGCGATCACCGCCACGATCGTGGCCGCGATCACCACCTCTATTACCTCCACCACCACCGCCGCCGCGGGAAAAGTTTTGATGGCGACCACCGCCGCCACCACCACCTTCTTGTCGTGGTGGACCACGTTTTTGGAAGCCACCGGCACTATAATAAAAAAAAACAACAAATAATTAAAAAAAAATTCGCAATTCAAATGCCAAGCTAACTTACCGATCATTTTTCCTACGCTCGGCAATATCAATACGCAACGGCGCTCCATTATCATCGACATTGATTAGCCCATCGAGACGTAAAACTTCTTCCAGTGTTTCCAATGTTTCAAATTCCACATAGCAAAAACCCTTGAAGACATCTGTAACGCGATCATTGACCAAACGAACATTTTTCACATTGAAACCTTGACATTGGAAAATTCGTACAACATCGCCTTGTACCAGACGTTGGGGTAAATTGCCCACATATGCGGTGTATGGGGGTTCAGTGGGTAGCTGCTTGCTACCATAATTTCTGGAAATAAAAAGTGAAGAGGAAAATTATTTAATCAATGAATACAAAATTAATGGAGTATCATTTCAGGATTAGAAAAAATCGCCAAATCCCCAAAATACAAACATGTTAGGGGCTACCCCAAATTTGGACCAATATTGATAATATTTGGCGGGAAGATTTTGTAGCTAATAGGAACCCAACATACCAAAATAAAGCCAATTCTATTGAGAACACTGTCCAAAATCCTTAAGATCCGCCTATTTTGAGGGTATCGCTATATAGGGTCTAACCCAAAAAGTTGACCAATATTTATAATTTTTAGTAGAGAAGTTTGGTACCCAATGTGAACCCAATGTACCAAATTATAGCAAATTCGGTCCAAAAACGCACCGAATCTCCCCGAAATATCGACATTTTTGGGGTACCTTTATATGGGACCTACCCGAATAAGTGGACCTATTTTGATAATTTTTAGTGGAAAGATTTGGTTCCTAATAAGAAGCCAAAGTACCAAATTACAGCGAATTCTGTCAAAATACGTGCTCAAAAAGTGCAAAATATGAAAATTGTACGTGTATCTTTATATGGGGGCTATCCCAAAAAAGTTGAACAATATTTATAATTTTTAGTGGAGAGGTTTGGTACCTAATAAGAAGCCTATGTGTCAAATTAAAGCGAATTAATTTCGAAGGTACCCAAAGTATCGAAGTTTTGGGGGTACATTTATATGGGAGCTAAACGATAATGTGGACCTTCTTTATAATTTTTAGTGAAGAGGTTTGGTACCTAATAAGAAGCCAATGTGCCAAATTATAACGAATTCGGATGAAAAACACAATCAAAAACTCGGAAATGTATAAATTATAAGGGTATCTTTATATATGCGAGCTACTAGAAAAAATCGACCGATATCGATAATTTCTATTGGAGAGATTTGGTACACAATAAGAGCCCAATGTGCAAAATTGTAGCCAATTCGGATGAAAAAGATGCTCAAAAACCACAAAATATCGAAATTTTGGGATTTCCTTATATGAGGCATACCCGAAAAATACGACCGATATTCATAATTTTTATTGGAGACATTTGGTATCCAATAAGAACCCAAAGTACCAAATTACAGCGTATTCGTTTGAAAAACATGCCCAAATTCCCAAAATATCGAAATTTTTGGTGTTCCCTTATATGGGAGATACCCGAAAAAATTAACCAATATTGATAATTTTTAGTGTGGAGATTCGGTAGCCAATAAGAACCCAATTTGACAAATTAAAGCGAATTCGGATGAAAAATGCTATTAAAACCCCCAAAATATCGAAATTTGGGGGTGCCTTATATGGGGACTAACAGAAAAAATCGAGCGATATTGGCAAATGTATGCAAAATTTTGGCCATTTATTTCAATACAACAGAAAAAATCGAGCGATATTGGCAAATGTATGCAAAATTTTGGCCATTTATTTCAATACGACAGAAAGACCTGGGCAAATCGTCAGAATTTGAGGCTGATGGGTAATAGACACCTAGAGATGATATCCCCATCTCTTGCTCCCTAATCCATTATATGTAGTTTCCGTTTTTTTTTTTTTTTTTTTTTTGGATTCTTTCCCCACATACAGACGGACCTGGATAAATCGTCACAAAATTTTAGGCTAATGGGAAATAGGAACTTAATAGGTGATTTCCGCACTATCTTCTATAATTCCCTACTTCATTATAAGAAGTTTTCGATTTTTTGGGGGGTTCTTTCTGCATCTTTTTATTTTTGTTATTTGAAACGTAAACAAAAAACCCTCCCAAGTGTATAAAACCAGTAAACGTATCCACGTGCCGAAAAAAACAAAACCTCAAAACAACAAGATATTAAAACAAAAAACTGAAACACAACCAGTCGGAGGAATACCACTACAAATGCATTTGCTTATCATGGAAAATAAAATCGCATGAATGACTATTGGTTATTGTTTTGTTCGTTCGTTTCATTTGAAATCGTCATTATATAATGCCGAAGAAGAAGAAACAGGGACTTCCCTTGATTCCGGTTGCGGAACACCGGCATCAATCAAAATAATAACACACAATTTATATTGATTGACATTGAAAACATAAATAAATAGAAGAGGAAGGGAATGTCATTTAAAAAATTGGAGAAAAAAGGCAAGTGATAGAGGCTTGGTCAGATTTGTTTTTCAAAATTGGAGGCAGGTGATTATCCGAAACGACGTCATTAGGAACTACTAATCAGCAGTGTACCAAAATAAGACCACACACACACACCATTGGGAATAAAACATATTCGTCATTCACACGAAAAAAAATCATCATCACCACCAGCGGCAGCAGCAGAAGCAGTGGCCACAGCTAAAGCACTGTCAAGGTGCGGGCGGCCGGGTAGGTAGACAAATCTAGCAAAGAAACATAACAAATAAAGCCGAAAAGTAAAGCAAAAAAATTCACACCACACACACACATACTCACTCACTACTACTACTATGTGGGATATTAATGATGATGATGATGACGATTTATGACCGATGACGATAAAGAGGAGTTTGCAGGGCAAGTATTTTTTGGGCAACTGCAAAGTAAACAGAGCTCATTGACAGCTCTGCCCTAGGGTGGCAGAGAATTTAATGGAACACATTTTTCCGATTCTGTGTTTCGTTGTTGTTCGCCGCAATAACATTTGTCGTACTTTGACATTTTCCACCCTAAGCCCTCGCAAAAAAAAAACCTTTATGATCGGGCGGAAGGGCATACACAAAGAAGATTTTGCGGCATCAACAAGAAGCGGCAGGCAGCATCAGAAATATTGGCATTATATACTTCCTGATTTGCAACAAAAGTTCCCACCAAAAATTTCCACGGAACTATTTTCAATACAGGCAAAGCAGCAGTAAACCCAAAAGCGGCGGCAGCTCATTGAATTAAATTCATACGGCAACGTTGTCGTTTGGTTGGTCGTTCTGTCGCTTGTTTGAAAGAGTCGTCGGTCGTTTGGTTTCCATCATCATCATTATATCTCTTCTTCATATATTCTTCTTCTGCTACACAAGGGCGGCGAAAATCTTTTTTACCCATTCTTACACACAAGCACACACGCACACACACACTTATATACACCCAAACACACCAGAGAGAAGAAATTCTCGTCACTATTTTTTTCGTTCATCATTTTTTCACTATATTTTGCACATTTCCCGTTAAACTTCATACACATTGCTGACAGCAGCTTAGGGACAATAAATTTCATTAATTTCCAGTTAGCTTTTCTTATTAAAATACACAAAAATTAATAAATATTTACCTAGGTTGATCAAAACCACCTCTTCTTTCAGCCATGTTTTATTTTTATATGTCGGCTAACCATTCACGCATATGCGGCGAAATTCTTCTTCCTCTTCTATGGCGTTGAAGCAAGTAATCATTATTTGATAACTATATCCGCCCACAAGGTAGGCACAATGCACTGGGAATTGATAGCATACAAAGGTGGCGTTAATAAGTGGATGATTTGTTATTTTAACTTTTTAATATTTGTTTCTTTATTAAAAATAATAATAAAATAGGGAACTATATGTGCTATGTACAGGGAATTAATAGCACATAAAGTTGACATTAGGAATTGGATAATGGTTTTTATAGTTTGTAATTATTTTATTAACAATAGATATAAAATAATATTATTAAGCTGAATACTGTGCTATGCACATTGAATTGATAGCACATAAAGGTGGCGTTGGGAATTGAATATTGGGCTTAAGTTGAGTTTAGGGGCTCATCTCCAATTTTTCTGAAATTTTTACCACAGGTAGATCTCGTCTCCCTGATCACGAAAATATATGACATTCATGGGGGAAACCCATATTTCCCGAGATATGGACCTCTGAAGTACCGTAATTCATATGCTCATAACTTGGACATTTATGGGCCGACAATCGTAATATTGACGGATATTTAGATAAACATGTTTATTTAAAAGAAAATTTCGATCGCATAACTGAATTTTCTATCTGTCCATAGGAGAAAGTCTTAAATCCCCGGCCGAAGGCCGGCTATATAAGAAAAACTTTGAAATAAAGGAAATTTTAATCGCGTAGCCAATTTTTCCACCTGTCCATAGCAGAAAGTCTTAAATCCCCGGCCGAAGGCCGGCTATTTAAAAAAAAAAAAATAGTTTAAAAAATATTGTTGATGCGTTAGCCGAATTTTCCGCCTGTCCATAGGAGAAAGTCTTAAATCCCCGGCCGAAGGCCGGCTATTTTTTATAAATTTTTACTTAAAACGAATTTAAGTGGAAATATAATGTGTACGCTTTACAATCATACCAATATTACCTTCACCGATTCATAAATAACGAAGTTATGAGCATAGGAATTTCGGAACTTTAGATTCCTCCATGAAAGTCATATATTTTCGTGATCAGGGAGACGAGATCTACCTGTGACAAAAATTTCAGAAAAATCGGAGATGAGCCCCTAAACTCAACTTGTTCCGAATATTGTGTTGCTATAATTTGTAATAATTTATGTTAAAAATAGAAATATAATAATTCTATAAAGCGGAATACCCAAGCTATTCACCGTGATTTGATAGCATATAAAGTTTACGTTAGTAAATTGGATGATTTCTTTAATTATTTGTTTTAATTATAAATAAATGATAATAAAATGGGCAACTATATTTGTTATGCACAGGGAATTGATAGCACATAAAGGTGACGTCAATGGATAAGGCGTTTCTATAATTCGGAATTATTTATATTAGCAATTGAAATAAAATAATATTATAAAGCTAATCACACAAGCTATTTATAAAAGTAGCGGTAGTAAATTTGATGATGTGTTTCTTTAATTTTGTAATAATTTACAAATAATTTATTTTTTTTTTATAAAAACAACAAACTGGGATTCAGCCTGACCATTTTGCAAAAAATAAAAATGAAAATAAAATAATATTATAAAGCTTATTACACAAGTTATTCACTGTAATTTGATAGCACATAAACGTGGTGTTATTAAAGTAGATGATGTCTTTAATTTTAATTATTTGTTTTAATGAAAATAAATAATAATAAAATAGGCAACTTTGTTTGTTATGCACAGGGAATTGAGAGCTTTAGTGACGTTAGTAAATTGGATAATGTGTTTTTTTAATTTTGTAATAATTTATAAATAAATGAAAATAAAATTATACTACAAAGCTAATTACACAATCTACTCACTGTAATTTTATAGCATATAAATGTGCCGTTAATAAATTGGATGATTTCTTTAATTTTTAATTATCTATTTTAATTACAAATAAATAATAATAAATTGTCTGTTCCCGCACTGCAAGTATCTACTAGTTTTTACTACGATAACGAATTTTCCTTTATGATGTCGAAGAAAATAGTAAAATCGAGTAGATTCTTGCAGTACGGGAACAGACCAAAAATAGGCGACTTTGTTTGTTATGCACAGCGAATTAATAGCACATAAAGGTGACGTTAGTAAATTTGATGATTTTTTTAATTTTTAATTATCTATTTTAATTACAAATAAATAATGATAAAATAGGCGACTTTGTTTGTTATGCACAGCGAATTAATAGCACGTTAGTAAATTTGATGATTTTTTTAATTTTTAATTACTTGTTTAGTGAAAAATAAGAATAAAAAGCAATAATAAAATCGCCAACTGCATTATTTATGCACTATGAATTGATGACACATAAAAGTGAGGTTAGTAAATTGTCTGATTTGTTTCCTTAACATTTTATCAATTGTTTTTTAATTAAAGATAATAATCGAAAAGTATCCAAATATATATGTTATGCACTGAGAATTGATACCCCATAAGGGTGAAATTGAATGATTTGAACTTTGTAATAATTGTTTAAATTATAAATAATATTAAAAAAGCACAACTATATTTGCTATGAACTGCGAATTGACAGCACACTGAGGTGAAATTAATAAATTTGAAATTTTTTTCCTTTAATTTTGGAATAATTTTTAATTAAATATAATTAAAGCCTGACTACGCAAATATAATCAATTATATTAATAATAAAATATTACCATGATTCTGATTTCAGATGTTATTCACGTTGATTTGATAGCACATAAATGAAACGATAGTTATGGTGTTTCTACACGATATGTATTTTACATATGTGCTGTCACTTTTTTACATCGAACTCGTCATGTGAAACATACGTAAATGTCAATGTATCAAAACGATATGCAATTACATATGTATTTTTTCCGAATAGGACGCGCTCTATTTTCGTATGTGAAACATAAGGAAATCATCTGTTTCAATGAAACACATTGTTGGAAGAAAATATTTCAATTGTAATTCAAAAAAATGATGAAAAGGCAACAATTACAAATTATTATTTCGTTTGTAGGTGTTTAATAAAAAAATGATGTTGATTTAAGAAAAAATAAAAGTGTTTTTTTGTTTATAGGTTATGTCATATGTAAAATACATATGCCGATTTGAAAACAAAAATAAATGTTTTGTGTACACTGCTAATTTTGACACACATAAGGAATTACATATGGATCAAATAAGTGACAGCACATAAGTAAAATACATATCGTGTAAAAACACCATTAATAGTATGTCATGGTACAATTATTCAAGGTATGCCATAGCAACTTATAAATTACAATTTTCAGAAAATATATTCGAAAATTGATTTGTTTGAAGATGAATTTTACAACATTTGTAAGAAGTATGTATGAATCAATATATGAATCATATCACCAACTCGATTTAGAAATGAAAACCTGATATTCTATTATTTTTTTTCGCGTTTTTGGTAAAATCTTAAAAATACGTCAAATGAACGGAACGACTTGTTGCATTTGTTTTCATTTATTCTGACATTATTGCCCATAAGGTAGTGGTGTATTTTCTCCTTTCTTACCAAAGCTACCCTACTTTGTGTAATTGTACCAGGGTTAAAAGTCTGTTTCAAATTTTATATTTACTTTTTAAATAAAAGTTGAATAAAAATCCCATTTGGAGTACGTAACCCACTAGATTTTGAATGTCAATGACGTGGCGTATATTTTATTTAACATATACGTTAGGAAATTTACATTTAAGATCGAATGGATTTGGTATATCTAAACGTATCGTTAAAAACAATCACGTGGGCATTCGCTGTGCATTGATAACACAACAGTGTGGCATTTTAGTGCGTTTGGAATATTTTTGGCTATTTATATTGTTGGCTCGCATCCCAACTGGTGAATATTTATACCACCGCCACCGATTTCCGAATTTTTCATTGAAAAATTTGCCTCCATCAGCTGTAGCCTTATTCGTATAAAATAAGGCAACACAGCAACCGCATAAATTGATTTTGACATTCCAACGCCGTTGGTCGTAAAACGATCTACGCAACCCTTTTTATCCGCCCGTAAACGTTGGCACGTTTTTGCTATTTTATTTTAAGTGAAATTTTTTTCTGCAAATTTCAATTACCAGCAACAATTGCAATAAATAATTCCTACATCGTGAACGAGAATTTTACCGGTATTTTGCAAAAATGGCATTAACGTCACGTTTCTACAGTGAAAAATATCCCGAAGTGGAAGATGTTGTCATGGTCAATGTCCTCTCCATTGCCGAAATGGGCGCCTATGTGCATTTATTGGAATACAACAATATCGAGGGTATGATCCTGCTCTCGGAATTGTCCCGTCGTCGTATTCGTTCCATTAACAAATTGATTCGTGTTGGCAAAACCGAACCGGTCGTTGTCATACGTGTGGACAAAGAAAAAGGTTATATTGATCTGTCAAAGCGACGTGTGTCACCCGAAGATGTGGAAAAGTGTACAGAACGCTTTGCAAAGGCAAAGGCTGTGGATCTACTATTGCGTCATGTTTCCAATTTGTTGGGTTACGAGACCAGCGAACAGTTGGAAGAGCTATATCAGAAGACTGCCTGGCATTTTGAAAAGAAATACAATAGCAAATCGGCTGCCTATGATATCTTCAAACAGTCGGTGGAAGATCCCACCGTGTTCGATGAATGCGATTTGGATGAGAAGACCAAGGAAGTGTTGCTGAACAATGTCAAGCGTAAATTGGTATCGCCCACATTGAAAATCCGTTCCGATATTGAGTGTTCGTGTTACGGTTATGAGGGTATTGATGCTGTGAAGGCGGCTCTCAACAAGGGTTTGGAATTGAGCAATGAAGAGTTGGTTATACGCATTAATTTGATTGCGCCACCACTGTGAGTGTTTGGAATAATTATTTTGTTGGAATTTGGAATTTTAATCGTTGTTTTGGTTTTGTTGTTTTCCAGTTATGTTATGACCACCTCAACCACCAAGAAGGCAGAAGGTTTGAAAATTTTGGAACAGGCCATTGAAAATATCCGTACCAAAATCCAAGAATATGGTGGTGAATTTAAGGTGGTTATGCCACCCAAATTGGTTACTGCCATTGATGAGGCCGAATTGGCTCGGCGCTTGCAAAAGGCTGAAGCTGAAAATGCCGAAGTTGGCGGTGATGATGATGAAGAGGAAGATGAAGAAGGCATGTCATTTGATCCCGAAAATGAATCTATTAATAATAAGGGTGGCCGCCACTCAGCCAAGAGTAATGATGACGATGACGAGGATGATGATGATGACGATGAGGAATAAATATGAACAAAGGCCCGGTGTGTAGTTGTTGAAGAAGAAAAAAAACAATAGTTGTTGTATAATTTTTTTCAGAGATTACAACAACAATTACTAACATGTTAAGCAGACCAACAACAAACAATTAATATTTATTACAATATTGAAACGGCTTTTGAGAAAAAACATTTTTTTACTTCGTGTACAGTTTCCATAGATTCCTTTTTTATATATACAAACAAACACACATACATACACATCAATCAACATCAAGAAAATATGATTTTTCTTTTTTTGTGCAAATTTGAGAAAAATAAAATGAAAATGTTTAACCCAATCGACAAACATTACAAGGTGAAAACCCAAAACCAAAAGACACAAATTTGGCGAATTTGGATTTTTTTTTCATTTCAAAGGCGCTAAAAGAAACGGTAAGGATGCTGAAGAAAGACAAAGGAGTTAGAAGAAGGGCAAAGGAGTTACATTGTCTATAAAAGTTCAAGAGGTCTCCAATTGACTATAGAAGACCAAGAGGGATCCTACTGTCAATAGAAGACCAGAAGGACTTTTAATATCTATAGAAGACCAAGAGGTATTCTATTGCCAAAAGAGATCTTGTTGCCTTCTATTATTTAAGGAGACCCTGAGTTCCTCTATAGAACATCCAGAGACCATATATTGCCCACAAAAGTCTTTGAGGTCCTTAGAAGATTTTTTTTAATTTTTAAATTGAAAACAAATTTATTTTTTATCTTATTTTATTTAAATTGTATAACCTGAGGTCTTCTACTATTTAAGGTGACCCTGAAAAAGTCTTTTTAAATTGAGGTGTGATACGTCTTGAGATCATCTATTGTCTTTAGAAGGTCTTGAGATTTCTTCTACTATGTAAGGAGAACCTGAGGTCCTCTATAGAAGACCTTGAGACCATATATTGTACATAAAGGTCTTTGAGGTCCTTAGAAGACTTTTTTTAAATTGAGCTGATGTACGTCTTGAGATCATCTATTGTCTTTAGATGGTCTTGAGGTCTCTTCTACTATTCAAGGAGACCCTGAGGTCCTCTATAGAAGACCCAGAGACCATATATTGTACATAAAGGTCTTTGAAGTCCTTAGAAGACTTTTTTAAATTAAAAACTAAATCATTTCTTTTTTAGTAGTGTTGGCGGGTTATTTGGGATACTATTTGTATTTTGTTTTTGCAAAATAGTCAGGCTTAATCCCAATAAAAAACAACTATTTATTAGTGGGGAATGTATGGCATTGTCCGCCGAGGGGTAAGGCAGGGAAGACTATAGTTCGGATCTCGCCACTGATCCTCATCAGTTCCCTTAGTTTTTTGTTGGGATATTCTCCCCAGAAGCTATTTCTTTTTTAGGATAATAAAACATTTGTTTAAATTGTATACCTTGAGGGAATAATAAACCATTTACTTAAATTTTATACCATGAGGCCTTCTACTATACAATGAGACACTGAGGTCCTCTATAGAAGACCCAGAGACCATATATTGTTCACAAAAGTCATTGAGGTCCTTAGAAGACTTTTTAATTTTTAAATTAAAAACAAAATAATTTATTTTTTGTGAATAGTAAACCATTTATTTAAATTGTATACCATGAGGCCTTCTACTATTTAATGAGACCCTAAGGTTCTCTACAGAAGACCCAGAGACCATATATTGTCCACAAAAGTCCTTGAAGTCCTTAGAAGCATTTTTCTTTATTTTTATAAATTAAAAACAAAATCATTTCTTTTTTGTGAATAATACACCATTTATTTAAACCACCACTTTCAAAACAGATTTTAGTTTTACATTTTGTTTTTGTTGCTGTCCTTAATAACTACGCTTTCAAACTCGGTTCTAAAAGCTATTTGCAAAGTAGATTTTTTTTGCATTATTTATTTATTTTTTTTTTGTAAATTTCGTTGAAGAATTTTATTGTATCCTTTCTTATTGGGGGGAGTATGGGGGAGGGTGTTCACTTGGTCTTAAACTTAAATATCTAGTCTTGTTCTTCTTATGCTATATTTTGTTGTTGTTGTTATTTGTAGATATTTAACGAATCTACATTTTTTGTCTACTAATTCGTTTGAAAAATTTCGTTAATAATTTGTTGTTGCTGTTTTTTATTATTACGAGAAATGCGCTTCAAGCCTGAGGTAGTTAACAGGACTATTAACATGAAATTGGATGAAATAAAATATGTGATATTTATCTAAATGTGAATCTACCTAGATTTGTCCATAAAGTGTGTAAATCGACTTCAAACAAATCATCCGGTTGACTATGTCTGTACTTCTAGAAAACGCAACTACGTAATTCTATGCTCAATTTTGTACGTTGTGCAAAATTTGATGTCAATCTGACTAACATGAGGAGTATGATGCCCAATTTGCTTGATATCGGGCGAAAAAATATATGTAAGCTATATCCACATATTAAGCGATTTCAAACAAACTTGTCACAGGTTAGGTTATACTAACTTTAGAACGTTTTGTTCCTATTGGTTCCTTGGTGCGTCAATTACATAAAATCAATCTATAATAAAATGGAGCTATATCTAAATCTGGACCGATTTTCACGAAACAAGGCAGACATCACTCTAGGCTCAATTCAGTACGTTATGCCAAATTTCGTGCAAATCGAAAGATATATAGCGACTTTGGTGAACCATTTACATGAAATCGGACGAAACTATATGTGGGAGCTATATAGAAATATGGACCGATTTTATCGAAACTTGGCAGACATCACTCTAGGCTCAATTCAGTACGTTGTGCAAAATTTCGGGCAAATCGAAAGATATATATGGATGTTGGTGCACAATTTACATGAAATCGGACGAAACTATATATGGGAGCTATATCTAAATCTGGACTGATTTTCACGAAACTTGGCAGACATAACTCTAGGCTCAATTCAGTACGTTATGCCAAATTTCGTGCAAATCGAAAGATATATATGGATTTTGGTCACAATTTACATGAAATCGGACGAAACTATATATGGTAGCTATATCTAAATCTTGACCGATTTTCACGGAGCTTGGCAGACATCATTCTAGACCTAAATGATTAGGCTGTACCAAATTTCGTGCTAATCGAAAGATATATAGGGACTTTGGGGCCCCATTTACATTAAATCGGACGAAACTATATATGTGAGCTATATCTAAATCGGGACCGATTTTCATGAAACTTGGCAGACATCATTCTAGGCCCAATTAAGTACGTTATGCCAAATTTCGTGCAAATCGAAGGATATATAGGGACTTTGGGGCACCATTTACATGAAATCGGACGAAACTATATATGGGAGCTATATCTAAATCTGGACCAATTTTCTTGAAACTGGGCAGACACCATTCTAGACTCAATTCAGTACGTTATGCCAAATTTCGTGCAAATCGAAAGATATATAGAGACTTTGACATTTACATGAAATCGGACGAAACTATATATGGGAGCTATATCTAAATCTGGACCGATTTTCACGAAACTTGGCAGACATCACTCTAGGCTTAATTCAGTACGTTATGCCAAATTTCGTGCAAATCAAAAGATATATAGGGACTTTGGGGCACCATTTACATGAAATCGGACGAAACTATATATGGGAGCTATATCTAAATCTGGACCGATTTTCACGAAACTTGGCAGACATCATTCTAGACCTAAATGATTAGGCTGTACTAAATTTCGTGCAAATCGAAAGTTATATAGGGACTGTTTACATTAAATCGGTTAAATATATATATGGGAGCTATATCTAAATCTGAACCGATTTTTCCCAATTTCAATAGGGTTCGTCCTTGGGCTAAATAAGTGACCTATGCCAAATTTCATCCAATTCGGATCATAAATGCGACCTGTACTTTGTTTACAATTTAACATGGACAGACGGACGGACAGACGGACATGCGTAAATCGACTCAGAAAGTGATTCTATGCATATTCTCAAAAGGAACCATGGGTCTATCTCGATTATTTTTGCCTGTTACAAACATATGCACAAAGACATAATACCCTGTACCACAGTGTGGTGAAGGGTATAAAAACAAAATGTTAGGCTTCTTCGCTGGATGTTATTAGCTTTTGTTGCAAAGTGTTTTTTCGTTATGAATTGGCTATGGTGAGTTTTTGAATATTTAAAAAAATAATTGGAATTAAAAAAAAAATGAAAAATTAAAAAAATAAATTTAAATACAAACTTCGAACTTTTAATAAAAAATCTGAATTTTTTCATTTTAATTTTCATTTTTATTTTATAAACTTAAATTTTTTTAACAAAAAATTTAATTTTTAAATAGATAATTTGAATATTTTTATAAAAATATTCAAATTTTTTGATAAAAAAATAAATTAAATAAGAAGAAAATAAAATTTTAAATAAAAAAAATTGGATACCTTTTAAATAAAAATTGGACTTTTATATTTTTTAAATAAAGAATGCATTTTATTTAAATAACAAATTTTGGAAGTTAAAGAAAATTGAAAAATTAAAAAATAAATTTAAAACAAAATTCGAACTTTAATAAAAAAATTCTGAATTTTTTTCATTTTTATTTTATAAAAAAGTTATTGAAATTAAATTTTTTTAACATAAAAATTTGATTTTTAAATAGAAAATTTGAATATTTTCAAAAAAAATATTGGAATTTTTGGATAAAAAAAAATAAATTATGAAGTAAATAAAATTTTAAATAAAAAATGGATTTAACCGTGCCTGCGTCTACAACTTCAGAAGTGTTGGCGGTTTATTTGGGATACCATTTGTATTTTGTTTGTAAATGCCTTGTTAACCTCGAAGTGAGGCTCCAGCGAAATTCTCATGCAGTTTATGTCGTTGGTCAGCTAAGTACTTCGCTTTGTTACAAGAGACATTTGGGTATGAAAGGTTTTTTGTATAGAAGCAATAGCTTCTGGGGAGAATATCCCAACAAAGAACTAAGGGAACTGATGAGGATCAGTGGCGTGATCCGAAACTATAGTCTTCCCTGCCTTACCCCTCGGCAAACAATGCCATACATAAAACTAATAAATAGTTTTTTTTTTTTCTATATTAAAAAAAATATTTTTGTTTATTATATAATAAACAAAAATATTTTTTTTTAATTTTTTTAATATTTTTTCTTAGAGATTTTTTTTAAAAAAAAGGATTCTTAAAAATTGAATTATTTTTAATAAAAAGTAAGCTTTTCCAATAAAGATTTGAAATAAATGTATATTTTTTTAAATGAAATTTTTGTTTTTTAAATACATTTTTTTTGAATTTGAAATATATTTTCAAGTTTTTAGAAACGAGAATTTGAAAAAAATTTACCAAAATAAAAAAATTATATTTTTTTTTATAAAAATTATATATATATATATTTTTTTTTGAAAAAAATCATTTTTTTATTATTTTAAGTAAGATGATGTCTTACCCTATAACAACCTAAAATATCAAATTAAAGCCAATTCGGTGCTAAAAATCCCCAAAATACTAAATATTTAAGGATACTTGTTATTTGGGGGGCTATCCTAAAATGTGGACCAATATTGATAATTTTTGGTAGTGAAATTTTGATACACAATAAAGAATTAAAAATATCAAATTACCATACAATTTGTTTGAAAAAGTGCCCATAATCGTCAAAATATCGAGAGAAAAAAACATGTACCGATATACCATATTTTTAGTACCACCAAACATCCTAGGAGTAGTAGCAATGTATGTGCAAAATTTCAAAGCTATGCGAACTCTATCGTGATGTCCGACATGCATAAATCGTCATAGAATTTTATTCGGATTGAGAATAGAAATAGACTTTATGGGGTCCTCCAGTGAATATTTTGAGATCTTGCAAACGAATTCACAAAATTTAAGGTGGAGGGTATACAACATATAACAAATTGAGGTTATGTTTTTTTTCTATAACAAAATTATAAATTTATTTCTTTTCCTTTCACATCTATAGGATTAAAAAAAAAGTATTTCACCATAGCCAAAACTATAGATAAACAATTTTGTTTCCTCAAACCTAGTTTTTACAACTTTTCATTTCCCCCGAACAATATTTTTCTGTTTAATTTTTAAAAATATTTAACTTAAAAAAAACTTAAATATGTGTGTATATAAGTTTTGTTTTTTAAGAAGTTTTTTTTTGCTACTTAATAATATAACATGTGACATTCGTTATACATATTATACAATTTTTCGTTTTGTATTTGTTTTTGTTTTGTTTTTTAGTCTCACAACATTATACTAAAATTTTTATTTAGTTTTATTTTTTTTAATTCAAAGTTCATTCATTGTTGTTTTGTATGTGTGTGTGTACATCATATAGTATATATTTTTTTGTTGTACTTAAAATTTAATTTACTTAAAAATTATTTTCCTTTTTATTTTTTGTTTTCTTATAAAAAGAATGAAATCGCCAAACGAGGTATTACTATTTTTATTTATTTTTTTATAAATCTTTTTTTATGCTTCTGTGCTGTGTGTCCTTTTTTATTAAAATTTTAAAGATTTTGCTAAAAGACCTGCTGTAGCTTGCAATTTATTCCCATTGGAACGGCGTAATTCCTCCAACACCTCCTCGCGAGTAAAACCCATTTTAATGAGATCAGCAACATCCGATTCATTGAAATTATCACCACTCGGTGGTGGTTGAGAGGCTGATGAATTCGAATTGGCTGTGGATGATGTTGCAGCAGCTGCTGTCGATGTTGTTGTGGTTGAGTTGGAGTTGGAGTTAGAGTTTACAGTAGCGGATGAGGTGCAGGCTGTATTTTTTTTTTTTTTGAAAGCAAAAATAAAGAAAAAAATGCAAAACATAGACACACAACACCCACCATATATATTTAGAGATACGTATACAATTTTTTAATAGAGAAATAATTAAGTGTTTTGTTATGTGTTCTATCTGTTTGTGTGTGTGTTTTGTTTTTTTGTTCATTTACCTCCACCACTACCACTAGCCGCATCTCGTTTACTCTGTTCAATTGCCTCCTTAATGGCCTGAGCTTCCGAATCATTGGCAGATTGTTCTAAGGCTTTGAGTTCGTCATCGACATTGCCCGAGAGGCGGGCACAATCGGGCAGTTCATTTTCGGCCAAAAATGGTGTTTCGGTGCCGGTGGTACCAATGCGCAACACATCACGTTGCAAATCGATGTTGCACTGCAAACAAAAAAATGAATTCAGCAATGTTTTAATTAAAAAATTATATTCAGCAAGGTTTTAATTAAAAATCTGAATATACATATATATTTATATTCAGATTTTTTTGTAATTTAACTCAATACAGCAAGGTTCTATTTACAGGAAAACTCAATTCAGTTAAGTTCTTCTGCATTAAACACCAATTCAGCAAGGTTTTCATAGAGGAAATCGTCATTCAGCTAAGTTTTTAAACTAAAAAACGAACATTTTCAAGTTTTTCTATATAAAAAAATCAATTCAGCAATATTTTTCTATGGAAACCGAAATTCAGCAAAGTTATTATGCCAATAAATTCAATTCAGCCAAGTTTTCCTTTGGAAAATCTCAATTCAGCCAAGTTTTCCTTTGGAAAAACTCAATTCAGCAAGGTTTTTATATGGAATTCAGCAAGGTCTTTATGGAAAACTCAATTCAGCAAGATTTTTTTAATGAAAAACATAATTCAGCTAGGTAGTTGTATAGAAAAAATAAATGTAGCAATGTTTGTGCGGAAAAACTGAATTCAGCAAAATTTTTTCGTAGAAAAACACAATTCAGCAAGGTTTTTATATGAAAAATTTGCTATTCAACCAACTTTCTTTAGGGAAAACTCAATTCAGCAAGATTTTTTTTGAATGAAAAACATAATTCAGCAGGGAAGTTGTATAGAAAATATAAATTTAGAATGTTTTTGTGCGGAAAAACTCAATTCAGCAAAAATTTTTTAGAAAAACTCAATTTAGCAAGGTTTTCAATAGAAAACATTAATTCAGTAAGACTTTTCAATAGAAAACATGAATTCAGCAAGGTGTTTTTAATGAAACACACTGAAAAAACATTTTCATGTTTTTCTATATAAAAAAATCAATTCAACAATATTTTTCTATGGAAACCCCAATTCATCAAAGTTATTATGTCAATAAATTCAATTTAGCCAAGTATTTCTTTAGAATTTCAGTTGTTCAAGTTGTTTTTTAACGAAAAACTCAATACAGCAATGATTTTGTATAGAAAAACTCAATTCAGCAACAATTTTCTATAGAAAAACTCAATTCAGCAAGGTTTTTATATGAAAAATTGATATTCAACCAAGTTTCTTTAGGGAAAACTCAATTCAGCAAGATTTTTTTTAATGAAAAACATAATTCAGTTGGGTAGTTGTATAGAAAAAATAAATTTAGCATGTTTTTGTGCGGAAAACTCAATTCAGCAAAGTTCTTCAATAGAAAACATCGATTCAGCAAGGCTTTTCAATAGAAAACATGAATTCAGCAAGGTGTTTTTAATGAAACACACTGAAAAAACATTTTCAAGTTTTTCTATATAAAAAAATCAATTCAACAATATTTTTCTATGGAAACCCCAATTCAGCAAAGTTATCATGCCAATAAATTCAATTCAGCCAAGTTTTTCTTTAGAAAAACTCAATTCAGCAAGGTTTTTTAATAGAAAACATTAATTCAACAAGTTGTTTTTAACGAAAAACTCAATTCAGCACGATTTTCTATAGAAAAACTCAATTCAGCAACGATTTTCTATAAAAAACTCAATTCAGCAAGATTTTTTAATGAAAAATAAAATTCAGCTAGGTAGTTGTATAGAAAAATGAATTTAGTAATGTTTTTGTGCGAAAAAAACTCAATTCAGCAAAATTTTTTCGTAGAAAAACTCAATTCAGCAAGGTTTTTCAATAGAAAACATCAATTTAGCAAGGCTTTTCAATGGATTTTCCTTGCATTGAAAATTGTTGTTTTTAAAAAATCCTACCTGATGTCTCTTGAGCATATCCAAACCCAACAGCATATCCATGGGTTGTTGTTCCAGCACCGAAAAACTCGAGGCCAAATAGTCTTTTTCAATTTGCAACTGGACCATGTGGATGCGGCCAATGATGCGTTGGGTGCCAACACCTTTGGCAATGCCACTCCATCTATAAAAGTATTAAAAAAATTATTGACATATTTTTCTATTAAAAAGAATCTTAGATCAATGGTAATAGACAGAATGCCTTACAGTTTTAATAGAACTGAAAGTAAAGCGCTCATTATTAAAATTCAAAAAAATAGATTTTGAAATTAAAACTTTGTTTTGATTAAAAAAACGTAATGTAAAGGTTTTCCGTACCTGGTGTCAATTAAATGTGTGACATTGCAACGTTTGGCGCATGCTGAACTCATTATGGTGGTTTGGGCCCCAGAATCAACAAATGCCTTGACCGGGACACCATTTACCTTGCAGTTAATGTAACTTGAAAAAAGAACAAGGATAAAAATTATTAATTACAATTAAGTGTTTTGTTTTTTTAATAAGAACCCACAGCATAATAACTGTTCCAAATATTTCCGGATTAAATTCCAATGCCGCTGCCATATTCTCTTGAATATTTTTCTGTTTTATTTCCTCTTCGATTAGACGCTGGGCTTCCGCATCAAATGGATCAGCATTTAGCATACGCAGACGTTGTGCATTACGTTCCTTGCGTGCATCAATTTGTTCCTTTAGAATCGTTTTAAATGTATCCAAATTACCCGACAACAGGGCATCGGCCAAACGTGGATTATTCTGTTTTAACAATGCCAATGATTCGGGATTTTCCAAGAACATTTGACGCACGGTGGCTGGATCGTCATCATAGTTGACATTAAATTCATCCGAATCATTGTAATTGATTAGACCACTGGCCGAGGGTAAGGAACGAAATGCACCACCAGCAGCCAGACTTGAACCGGTTGTTGAGCCTGTACTAGTGCCTGGTATACTTATATTGCTAAAGTCCAAACTGCGTATAGCTGCTTCGTCTGTAAGAAGAAGAAATAGAAAAGAAAATTAATAAAAGTCTTTTTGTTGTTGTTTATAAACTTAGAGGAAGAAGAAGAAGAAAACAAATTGTTTGTTTTGGTGAAATTTGTTTATTTGCCGTAATGGGTATTGCACGTACGTATGTGCCGTGCCACCCACCCTCACAACATATATTTGAACTTGACATTGAACTCTATTAACTGCTTCAATGAATTTTCGGGGAATTCACATTGAAAATAGAAAGTGGTGTGCAACCTTGAAAAATAATACAAATCATGGGAAAAAAAATATTCGGAAATATTTTCAAAGTTCTATCAAGGTGAGGAAAATATTTTTAAAGTTAATAGGGCCCAACAAGGCCTGGTTTTGAAAAAAATTAAATTATTAAGGTCGATCTCAAGGTGTTTTGAAATTTGAAAAAAAAAAAACATTTTTAAATTTTTTTCATGATCTACATTTACAAAAAAATAAGCAGTGGGAAATGTATTTTTGTCAAGGCCTTGTTGACCATGGCCTAGGATTTCAAAAGAAAATACTTTTAAAGGTCCAACAAGGCCTACGTTTTATAAATGAAAATATTTTCCAACCTTTTGAAAAAATTAAGGGAACTGATGAGGATCAGTGGCGAGATCCGAAACTATTCTTCCCTGCCTTATCCCTGTTTCAAATGCCATACATTCCCCACTAATAAATAGTTGTTTTTTATAAAAACAACAAACTGGGATTAAGCCTGACTATTTTGCAAAAACAAAAAAAAATATATATATATATTTTTCTGGATTATCGATGCATGGTTTCAAATTTCCGATTTGTCAGGCTTTTTAATTTTTTTTTTGCGGACTGATGATCCGTTTTTTTTTTTATCAAAAATGTACTTTTTTAAAGAGTGGATTAAAAAAAAAATATTTTCCGAACTTTCGATTTGTGGACCTTTTAAAAATATTTTTTCCGAATTTTTTTATCAAAAATATATTTTTTTGAGTCTATTGAAAAGTGGATATAAAAGAATATTTTTTCGGGACTATCGAGGGCTGGATTAAAACTTCCGATTTGTGGATATTTAAAAAAAAAATCCGGATCGAAGATCCGCAAAATTTTTATCAAAAATATTTTTTTCTGAGTCTATCAAAGAGTGGATATAAAAATAATAATTTTTGGCTGGATTTATACTTCCGATTTGTGGATATTTTAAAAATATTTTTTATCCAAAAATATTTTTTTCCTAAGAGGATTTTTAAAAACATATTTTTTCGGAACAGTCGGTGCATGGATTTAAATTTCCGATTTATGGACATTTAAAAAAAATATTTTTCCGAAGTAAAGATCCGCAAATTTTTTATCAAAAATATTTTTTTTCTGAGTCTATCAAAGAGAGGATTTTTAAAAACATATTTCTTCGGAACGGTGCTTGGATTTAAACTACACTTTAATTCGGTAATTCGGATTGGTAATTTTTTTATCAAAAATATTTTTTTTTTTTTCTGAAATGTATGATCCGAATGAGATGAAATTTGCCACAGTTCACTTATTTGGCCCAAGGACGAACCCTATTGAATTTGGAGAAAATCGGTCGAGATTTCGATAAAGCTCTCACATATATTTTCGTCCGATTTTAGGTGCTCCAAACTCTCCAGATTTGTCTGATTGGGACAAAATTTTGCACAGGGTACTGAATTGAGTACAGATTTGCGTATGCGAAGTTTTGTTGAAATCGGTTTAGATTTAAATATAGCTGCCATATATATTTTCGTTCGATTTTTTGTAAATGGTCCAAAAAATTCTTAGGAATTGTCCGATTGATACCAAATTTAGTACAACGTACTCAATTAAGTACACCTTGTTGTATGCGAAGTTTTGTTGAAATCGGTTTAGATTTAAATATAGCTGCCATATATATTTTCGTCCGATTTTAGGAGCTCCAAACTCCCCAGCTTTGTCCGATTGCAACAAAATTGTGCACAGCGTACTGAAGTAGGGAACGAATGCCGTATATGAAGTTTCGTTGAAATCGGTTCAGATTTAGATATAGCTCTCATATATATTTTTGTCCGATTTTAGGTAAATGTTGCACAAAACTCTTATTATTTATTTAATTGTGACGAAATTTTGCATAGCCTACTGAATTGAGTCTAGAATGATGTGTGCTAAGTTTCGTTGAAATCGGTTCAGATTTACATACAGCTCTCGTATATATTTTCGTTCGATTTTATGAAAATGATGCACCAAACTTCCAGGATTTGTCCGATTGAGAGAAAGTTTTGCACAGCGAACTGAATTAAGAATACGTTGACGTATGCGAAGTTTTGTGAAAATCGATTCAGATTTAGATATAGCTCCCCTTTACATATTCTTCCGATTTTATTTAAATGGTATACCAAACTCCCAAGAATTTTTCGATTTATCCAACTAAACTTCTCACAACGTTTTTCAAATTTGCTTCTCATTATAAAAGGGGTAAAAAATATTGTTCCTTATCACTTCTTCAGTCCCCTTGAACGACCTCACAAAATAAGGTAATCTCTTAAAAAAACGAATCTGCTTTTTTCGGGCATATAATTTGGAAACATTTTAAACTTGTCTACAAAAAATTCCAATCCACTCTTGGTTGTGGTACTATAATAGAGAATTATTGTATTATTAATGTTTTTCGAAAAAGAAAATTTAAAAAACATATACCTGTAATTTAGTGTCATTATATTCAACATTCTATCTTAGATCATTGACCTACTTCTCTTCATGTGGCCAAAGACATATTGTTTTCGTATAAAATGTAGCATCTTTGTAATTTGGACAAAACAAGGCGCAGAGAAAAAAATCAGACAAGCCAAATTAATGGACAATGACACATGCAAATGGTTAGCATGCTGATGATGATGATGAAGTAAACATGCCAACACATGTACGCACACACCACAAAATACCCGAAAAAATGTAAATACGCATTAAGAAAAAAATGACTACAGTTGGAGGATTTCGTTTGCGCGCCCACTCAATTATTTACTTGCATTGCTCATCACACATTGCACTGGATGTACCAGAGAAGACATACCGAAAAAATTACTTTATAAGGTTATTTTTAATGTTAAAATTATTGCTACTTACCCAAATCCATAGGTGTTGGTGGTGGACGGCTGACAGGTTCACGGCGTATTTCACGTTTTTGCAATACCACACAATCACCATCTTTAATGCCAAAATGTTTCAGTGGTTGTTTGTTATCCATCAAGGGTTTACCATTGAATATGATTAACATTTGGGCACCCGCTATACCCGATTCCACCTCACAAAATGCCTTGAAATTTTCCAATTCCAATTCTTCGCTGACATCGAGAAAGAAGACCTTATCGGTCGAGGTGGTGGTTACGGTAATTTTCATATCGGAGATGGATGATGATTATTGTGTGTGGTTGGTTCAGACACCACTAATCTCAATACAAATGGACTTTACTTTTATTATTTTTAAGGTAATAAAACCACAAAAATGTATTCGGCTTTGCTTTATCAACAAAACAACAACACCGGAACTTGAAATGACCCCACAAAAATTTTTCCAAACACTTTTCAATGAACTTTGTTTATAATTTCGAAAAATATCCAATATTTATTACGATTGATGGTTGCACTGGGGACACGCACACCTGAAATGTTAGAAAAAAGAAATTGGACTATTAAAAATTGTTGAATATTCAAAAGCAAGAAAGCCAACAAAGTGAAAACAAAAGAACAATACAGCAAAAACAATAACAACAACAACAACTCAATCTCATATCACGCACAAACACACAACAGCCAACTGGGGGAAAAAGAAGAAGCAGAATATTTATTAATTATTTTGGAAAAAACATTTCATTATTTCTGCATTCTGCTGCTACTATTTACTGCTTGCTGCTGCTTCTGTTGGTTGGTTGTTGTTGATTTGGTTTGTCCTCGTTGTTGTTGTTTTGATTTTTTTCTTTTCTTCCTCTGCATTTGTATGCGTGTGTTTGTCGGCATTTTTTGGCACTTTATCTCATAATTTCACAAGTATTTTCTTATTCAATATTATTTATTATTGTTTTTGGTTCTCCGATTTCATTAATCTCACCTTTTTTCTTGTATTTTTACAATAAATTTGTTAATTTCCAATCTCTGATCGAAATCGTCGTGTGTTTTGTTCAATAGACGAAGCCAACTCCAATTTTTGCAACGTCGCCCGGCTTGATAATGCAGTTTGTTTTTTGAACGGCGTCGTCATAACTTTGAATTGGTTGCTTCTTCTTCTATCTTTGTAAGTTGTAATCATGCACAGGGGATGGTTAGCACACAGACGGGAGATAATGACAATTCTAACCCTATCGTTATAGTTTACGATATAACATCTTTGTCATTTTAATTGACATTTCTGTTGTATGTCAAATAATAAAAAATCTTATGTAATTTCCCATTTACGTGTTTTATGATATATTTTAATTCAATCTTCAACAAAAAACATAAACATCAAAATCACTTTAAAATCCTCGCTAACGAATCCGGGAACCAAAAGTGCAAAACCTTGGAAGATGTGGATACGAAAGCGTATCACATGGCAATCTGCTTCTGCCAATGATATGAAGATAAAGACCTCAACATGATCAGCGAGAAAAAGGTACGAAAGGGAATATCCCATCACGGCCTCTAGGCAATTTCCGGTCGACCCAATTCTTAACCCAGGTACTGTGGCCACCTCTGACGGCACCTCTACCAAGGCTACGGATAAGGAAATCCACAAAGCATGGGCCAAACAGACGAGATCGAAGATAGGAGTTGTATCAGGGACAGCATTGGCGGCTCAATACCTGTGACAATGCATAGGATAAGATCGACGGAGGAACAGCAACCGAAAAACTTTGCTTAAAAAAGGGTAGTAGCCAAGATCGAATGTGAAGACTTTTATTGGAATGAAGAAAGTACCTCCTAAATTTCGGTATTTTGAAGAGTTTGGTCATATTTTCCAACCCGAATTAACTGCAATTTGGTATTTTGGGTTCCCATTCACATCTTCTTACCAAATATTATCAATATTGCTCCAAGTTTTATCATAGCTCCCATATAACGGTACATCCCAAATTTCGGAATGTGGAGAGTTTGGATCGTTTTCCAATCGAATAGGCTGAAATTTTGATATTTGCGATATACATTGGCAAGGAAATCTCCATACCTAAAATTATCAATTTTGTCTTAAGTTTCAGGGTCGAACCCATATAAAGGTACCTTTCAAAATTCGGTTTTTTTATAATATTGGTAATGTTTTTCAACCGATTTGTCTCCAAATTGATATTTTGGGTTCTCATTGGCAAGGAAATCTTCATACCAAAAATGATCAATTTTGACTTAAGTTTCAGGGTAGGTCCCATATAAGGCTACTTTCTAAAATTCGGTTTTTTTTATAATATTGGTCAACCGATTTGTCTCTAATTTGATATTTTGGTTCACGTTTTTCTTTTGACCGATTTGTCTCTTCGATTTTTTGATATTTTGGGTTTTTCACATTGGCAGCAATTTGGTAGAATAGCGTACATGTAACGGTACCTCCCAAACAGAATAGACGGCAAATTGGTATTTTGGATTCTCATTGAGTAGAAAATCTTCTTACCCAAATAATTGATATCGTTCCACCAATCGATCGATATCATTATATTCTCATGTTTTTCTAAAACCATGTTTAATGAACCTTTTTATGGAAAACCATATATTGGTTAATTTTCCTATGTTTTTCTAATTCTACTTTATTAATTTTTTTGTTTCGATATTATAAAGCAAAAATTGTTATCATAGCAAAAAAAAAAATTAAAATTTGTAGGTTATGGAACAGACATTGCAGTAAACCATGTATTTCTACGTTACGTTACTGCATTAATTCCTCTACTCTGTCTCTCTCTATACACACAAATTACAACTCTGACAACTATATGCTTTGCAACGGCGTTAGCTAACATTTCCATTTTAACGGCGTCAGAAAAACCATCTGTCTTCGGGCACTGTTTGGGCATTACTCAAAATAAGAAGAAGCATTGATTGTAGCGATTGTGACGGAAAAAAAATTTATACGGAAAAGCGAGAGAAATAAAGTGGAATCGCCAGAAAAAGTTATAAAAAGATTTGTGATTTAACAACAAGAGGAAGTGAAATATCAGTGCGAATCTAGTAAAAAAAGAAAATATAATATCCCTAGAAAAGCAATAAAGCCTGTGAAAGAAAATAAAAGAAGCCAGTTAGCTAAAAAAAGCAAATAGAAAAAAGTCAAGTCAAGAGAAATCTGGCGAAAAAAAGTGTTTCTGAAGAAGAAAAACGAGCAAGCACGAGCAAAAAGTTTATTTAATGATGACGGACGGCGGGTGTATGACTCCACAAAGTGAACAGGAAAAGGTGAGTGTGTGGATTATTTCGATTATTAGTTAGTTAAATAATTTTAATAAAGTATTTTGTAGGTATTTGTAAGAAGAAGAAAAAAGGGCAATAGGGAAATGAGAAATATTAGTGAGGGTATGGAAAAATAAAATAAAAGCAACAGCAGCAGCTTTGGAACTTTTATTGGCCCTGCCAGCCATACGCTTACACATCTATATATACACACATACAGTTACGTAGCCAAAAAAAAACCGGTGTGTGCGTGTGTTTGATTATCATATATTTTTTTTGGTTCCGTATGGCCTTATTTGCGTTGTTGTTTGTGTTTTTTCTTCTTCTCTGTTTCTTTTTTTCCATTATTCTTTTTTATTTTATTTCATTAATATTTTTATGTGGTTGCCAGGTATTGTGGTAATGGCTTGAAAAGCCAAAAGAAATAAAAAAAACAATGACATTTATTTTTGACAACCAACTCCCACAAATTAAATGGCAGCTGTAAAAAAGTGACGTTTAACAAAAAGGGGTGGCAAGACAAGGCAAAACCAAGCAAAGCTTTCTCTTAAGGATTTAGTTTAGTTGTTTCTCCTGTTTCTTTTTAAATTTAGTTTTTTTTATAATTGCTGCTATCGTAGTTGCTGTTGTTGTTTTCCTTCTATTTTCTTTGCATTGTGCTGCGCTTGCAGCAAAGTTGTTATTGCAAGTATCAACGACCCCAATTGTGAAAAAACCTTCACTCACGACTATTCACAACATGTATAGTGCAAGCAATTTGCAATGAACGTCAACATTTTTACAACAATAACAAAAACAACAACAACGTCATCAGCAACAACATCACAGCGCACCTAGTACCATCCAGCCACCAAGCACTGAGAATAGAAAACAAGAGAAAAAAATTTTTGTATAAAATTAAAAGAAAAGCAGGCAAAAAAACAAAAAATAGAAGCATCGAAATGGCAACAACAATTAAAACTATTATTTCAACACCTCCGCCTCCACCACCAATCACCATCCATACCATCATTCTTAAAATCCATATCATTCATTGTGCCTGATGCCTCCTCCTCCTCCTCCTGCAGCCTCCTTAACTATTCCGTTCAGTTCAGCAGCAAAACAACATGAAATGCTAAGAAAAATAGACAAACAAGTACGGACAGACTCAGGCAGGCAATGCTAGATTTTCTTCTAGCCAACAGAGAGACGAAAAAAAATGCAAAAAATCTCTTGTGGGTATTTTTTTTCTTTAAATTTGATTTACAATTTACATTTCTTTTTCTAATGTAATTTTTCTAGTTTCTTTTAGTAGTTTTCCTTTCGGCTTTTAATGGAAAATAACAAACAAGATTTTTATTTTGAGTTTTTTTTTTTAATTCAGCCCACTGACTTTTTTGACCTCTAGACATAGGATTTTTTTTGAAGATAGCCAATGGAAGGATAGATAACCCAGGCAATGAATTCTGTTAATGGTTATATGTAAGAAAATTTTCCATATTTTAATTCAATTCAATATTAATTTTTATTTATTTACATAGACATACCTATGAGCAGAAAGGAAATAATCTAGAGTTAAGGAATCAGAGTGATAATTTTTTGAAGAGCAAATTGATAGTCTTTTAAATTCAGGACCACAATAGGCAGATAGTCGAAATGGAAAGGGGATAACCTAGGCAAAAGAATTGCCAATACTTTTTTTATTTTCAATACTAATTTAAAATCCAGGCGAGGGAAATTTAATAAGGCAATGAATTCGGTTAATGGCTGTCATGGCACCATGAGGTCGGTTATATGGAAGAGAAACTTTAATATTTTTTTAATTTTTAATATTCATATAGATGTGCAACAGGAGTGTAGTCGATATTAAAAATCTGATGAAAATGAAACCTCGAAAATATCAAATTACAATCAATTCGATTGAAAAACGTGTCCGTACTCCCAAGAAACTTTTGGGGATACCATTATATGGGAGCTATGATAAAAAGTGGACCAATGTTGATAGTTTTTGCGTGGAAAGATTTGGTACCCAATGAGAACCCAAAATTCTAAATTGCGGCCAAATCGTTTGATGAACATGCCCAAAATCTCGAAATTAGCGAAATTTTGGGTGTTCCGTTATATGGAAGCTACCTTATGAAGTAAACCAATATTGATCATTTCTAGTAGGAAGATGTCTTGCCCAGCAAGAACACAAAATCCCAAATTACAGACAAATCGACTGAAAAATATGACCATATTCCCCAAAAACAGAAATTTTAGAGGTACCATTATATGGGAGCTATCATAAATTGGTAGGAAGATTTGGTTGCCAATGAGAACCCAATATACCAAATTACAGCCAAATCGTTTGAAAAACATGCCCAAAATCGCGAAATTAGCGAAATATAGGGTGTGCCCTTTAATAGGAGCTACCTTAAAAGTTACCCAATATTCAGGATTTTTTGTAGGATTATGTGTTACCTAGTCAAAACCAAAAATCCAAAATTACAGCCAAAATGATCGTAAAACATGCCCAAAATCTCGACAAAACACGACAAAAATCCCCAAAATACCGAAATTTTCGAGATACCGTTATACGGGTGGCTATACCAAAACGTGGACCGATATATCTCTTTTTCAATACCAAACATTCTATGAGTAATAACAATGTATATGCAAAATTTCAAAGCTCTATCTTAAATATGGCAGAGCTCTATTGTGATTTTAACGGACCGGACGTTTATTATTCTCCGCCCCTCCTCTTGTAGCACTCAATAACATTATGTTCAAGGTATTCTATATTTGTAGTAGATGTTGTTTTTTTTAATAATACTGATAAAAGAATTGTTTGTAACCTTAAAAAATGCCGATATTCATTCCCTACCTCTCCATAACCTTGACATTGATTGTGTGATGCTACGCATGAATCTGTCTCACACACCACTTAACATCTACAGTAGTTGAAGTTTGTGAATTGTGGCTTTCAGACTGGCGTGAACAATATTAGTCAAGTATGCTTCAAAAATTTGAAAAAAGAACCAAACGGAACTTATAAATTGTCTCTGAGAACAAGTTGGAAAATATCTTATTTTTGGATAGTATATTTTTTACAAAATTTGAAATTTTATAAATATAATTTTTTTTTTTTGGAATGGGCTTGGATTCCAGATATTTTAGAATTCGGTATTAGGTGTGGATTATTAATATAGTATATTTTAAAAAAATCCATCATATGTTCAGATTTTTGTAAAATATTTTTCCAATCTCTCTTTAAAATAAAATTTTCGAAGCAGGGATTTAATCTCCTCCTTTTTTCCTATTTCAAAGCTGCCTCTAGTATTCTATTAAATGGGCTCATGTTGCCATATAATTAGGCCCAGTAGTTGTAGTTGGTATTATTTTATTTATTTATTTTTTGTAATTTTCAAAACCCACACTCCAATTAACACTATTTTTTCCCAGTTGATGGTCAACTCTAATTTAGGGGGGTTATCAACCATTATTTCTTTACCAAACATTGCATGTGTACACACAAAAAACAACAACAACAATTTATATTTTGACAGTTAATTAATGTTTTTCTTTATTTTGTCTACTCTTTTTGTTGATTGTGACTTTTTTTGTATCTGTTTTTCTAACAAATTGCCTACCAAATAGAAAAAATATGATTTATTTACATGTGTTTGAGTGTGTATGTTGATTGTTTTCTTGTCTAGATTGTGGGTGGATAAGTGAATACAGTCCCTGTAGGAAATGTCTATAGTAAATCACTACTGACTTACTATTGACATTTAACATGTGCTAGGTAGAGCCTCAGCGTCACATATGTGAGTTAATAGTTTGTAGATATAGACACATATGTCACTTGGAAACTTTTTATTATTTCGTTTGCTCAATTTTTTTTCTTCGCCAATTATTTAAATTTATAAATATATTATCCAATTATCTTTAATAACTTTAAACTCGCGTTTTTAACAAAATTTCTGTCCATTGCCGTCAAAATTATTTGTAACGCAAGAAAAAAAAAGAAGAAGCATAACCATGCTCAGAAGGCTGTTAACATAACAAATGCTTCTTCTTATCACATGAGACAAGTTGTTTGATATATGGACACATGTCGCCACAATAGTAAACAAAACCACACTAGTATATATTTTATAATTTCTTTTGCTAATTTTTGTTTATTTTTCTATTTCAATTTACTTTCAATTAATTAATTAAATTCTCCAATTGCCTTTAATCACTTAAAAATCGTGTTTGTAACAAAATGTCTGTCCATTGCCGCCAAATTTATTTGCAATAAATGAAAAGATAAGAAGAAGCATAAACATGCTCAGTAGGCTGGTTAACATAACAAATGCTTCTTCTTATTACATGATATGTAGAATATGGACACATTTCGCAACAATAGTAGACAAAGGGATACAGCACACCACATTTCCTTCAGGGGTGACTCAAATATTGTTGAGGTTAGGTTTTGAAAAAGTTAGCTTTTTCCTTATATGTAAATCCCCTTAAATAAATTTAACATCCACTTGGTGCAATTGATCTTCAATCATTGTAATGTTTTTATTTATTTATTTTTTAATTCTCTTCATTAATTAGAAGTCTCTTTTTATTATTTGAGAACAAAAGTAAGGTTAGGTTGAAGCAAAAAATGCACATAAATTCCTTGCGATTCGTGCAGTTTCATGGATATTTATTTTTTTATTTGTATGCATTTCGTTAACTTTTTTCGTTAAATTTTCAATTTCCAAAAAAGTGAGGTTAGGTTGAAAAAATTAATATTTTTCGTACATAACTCCACGTGGATTTAATTACACTTTGATTTAATGTAATTGATCCTTAATCACTGTAGTTAATGAGAATTCTCTTCATTGATTAGAGGTATCTTTATATTCATTTGGGGGAAAATGTGAGGTTAGGTTGAAGCAAAAAAATTCACATAAATTCCTTGCGATTCGTGCAGTTTGATGGATATTTATTTTTTTATTTGTATGCATTTTGTTAACTTTTTTCGTTAAATTTTCAATTGTTTGTATGCA